GCAACAACCCAGAAGACAGAAATCTTCATACTCTGATGACGGAGGCAGTATGACCTCTGAAACGTTGGTTAACATCGACCAGACTACACAGCGCAACAACCCAGAAGACGGAAATCTTCATACTCTGATGACGGAGGCAGTATGACCTCTGAAACGTTGGTTAACATTGACCACACTACACAGCGCAATAACCCAGAAGACGGAAATCTTCATACTCATCGCCCTGATGACGGAGGCAGTATGACCTCTGAAACGTTGGTTAACATCGACCAGACTACACAGCGCAATAACCCAGAAGACGGATATCTTCATACTCACCGCTGTGAGAACCTCAAGTCTTCCTTTACCGTGCCAAAAAGTCTTCCGCAAACTCTAGAAATAAACTTTCTTTGGTCTGGAATGTCGCCTGAGGTGAGGTTCAGGTTAAAATTTCTTCGTTCCAGGGAGTACAGTGTTTTAACATTAGAATCGACCCTTTTCGAAACACAAGTCACTTCTTGTGAATGAATTTCTTTGCTGCCCAAGGATGGCGTGAGAGTCTGTAATTATCTGCGAAAAATTCTGCCAGACGAATTCGTGTTCGACAGTTGACATGGAGACTTGCTTGTAGACAGATTTTTCATAATATGATTGCCTTTGCCACGAAAATGTCTGGACGGAAGCGAGACTCATTCCTCCTCACTCGTCTTGTGACCCCACAGAGAACGAGGATGTACAGTTAGACGGGGAGAGGGGGGTAAGTACATCCTGTCCACTCTTCTTCAGGATATCGACTTCAATTGGACTTCAGTCTGTGCTAATGATATTTGTTCTGGAGTGGAGATTAGAGGGGCCCTACATTTTTAAGAGTAAAAACTCCGCTCCGCGTTTGGTTCCTCTGAGACGAAAGAATCCGTGCTTTTTTCAAGTCCTAAGATCAGGGCGACGCACATGCTCCTGTAACATAGGCATTTTCACTACCCAGAATGACCCTCACCTCTGCAATGATTCAGTATTTGCCAAAAATCGAGTCAATCTTATCACGAATACGAAGTGAGTGGCGTGTTATTGTAACACGCGATGTGTTACATTACGCAATCCTTCCTCTCCGGTGCTGGAAACCTGAAACTCTCATCAAGTTCCTGGGACGTATTACGTGTTGTGAGACATGGCCCTACTGTCGTGTATCAACGTGTGTCTGTCAAGATTCGCCGAGTACGTGTGTCGGATACTCTTTGTTTTCCTTAGTCACTTCAAGTAAAGGCCAACAGATCCTAAAAATCGGGTCACTCCGACATTACCAGCTCCTCGCTTATCCTGATTATCAGTGTTGAACGCCATTTGCAATTCCCGTCAATACGAGAGAAATGTCGTGTTGTGCGGGATTATATAAATAGGCCTTAAGGAAGTCATTGACCTGGAAGGAAACGCAGACTGCTGTCTCAGAGTGTCTGGCCAAGAGATTTGATCTGTTGACTTCTGAAAGTACAGCGAATTTTATTCTAGTCGGAGTAAATATCGAATTAAATAGCCACGAGTCACGTGCTTGCAGTCAAATCATGTCCTGAAAAAATGCTGGTAGTAGATGGTTTGTCCTCATGTGGTCGTGACATTTTATACTTTTCTGGAAGTCGACTAGTTGTTAACGGCACTAGAATGCGTTCTCATCGCTGTTCGTGCTTCATGTTCAGCCCATCTCTTATTCCTTAACTTAATCGCCTCCTGTTAAACATTGTCTTGAAGTTCGCTCAAGATAAGATTCAGCGGTGGGATCTTGTAAAGACGGCAATTAACCATCGGAATCCGTGAAATGTGTAGAATTTGTCGACCAGCCGAGAGATTATTAGCGTCTTCAGAAGGGCTCTGTTCCTTGGAGTTTCGTAATACTCTCATGAGGTGCTTGAAAATCTGTCATGCATCGGGTATGTAACGTTCCTATAGAACTGTGAATTTCTGGAAAATTCTATTGGATGCCATGCGTGTTGTGATCTCTTCCTCGTCAATATCCTTTAGCTCTGTACCGCGAAATTGATGTCGGTATTTTAATTAGGTAGTGTGAAAGCCATTACCTTCGCATTGTGCGTTGTTTCTGTGGAAATCCAGAGACTGTTCACCCGTGTCACCTCTTGAGGAATGCAAACAATTCTGTTTTCACGGCCTCCAAGTATAATCCATCAGTTCGTTTAACCAGATTCCGAGGTGTAACCAGTGAACAGTTGTGGTCTGTGGGCTGGTTATAGTTGGCGTGAGAACAATGCGTCTTGTATGCCGTGGGTGTGTGCACTCTGGCCAGAAGCCATCGTCGTGCCATTCTCGGTTTGATCGACTTACCTGTGTTGTGGGTGGGGCCCCATCACTCACTCTCCCGAGAGCCTTCCGTCTGGGTCAGGAGACCGCTGTCTGCACCCGCGAACACGAGCTCAACGAAGGGTGACGACGTTTAATGATACGTGGGAGGAGACGACTCTTGTGTTCGTCTGAGCGTCTCGTTCCACCGAACCTCGTCTATACGCTGAATTTAAACGGGATATGATGAGCAGATTTTAAGCATTAAAATGCGTACTTTGTCCGGGACTGTGAGTGTGTCCGGATTTAGCTCATGAATGTCATAATTGATGTGAATTAATTGTTCTGGGGGATCTGCACGAAACGTCTGGTCTGGTTACTGTGAAATGCAACTTCTGGTTCACGTGACGCCGATTTGCGCAGAAACTGGGAAACGTATGGCTTAGGACAGAAGACGATGGGGTCTGGAGAAAACTACGTAATGATGAACTTAAAAATCTGTACTACTCCCCCAATATTGTCAGGGTGAAGAATGAGATGGGCGGGGCATGTAGCACGCATGGATGGGACAAGAGGTGTGCACCGGGTATTGGTTGGTAAGCCTGAGGGGAAGAGACCGCTGGGGAGACCTAGACGTAGATGGGAGGATAATCTCAGGCGGGATCTATGGGAGATAGGAGTTGAAGGAGATTGGATTTTGTTGGCTCAGGACAGGGTCCGGTGGAGGGCTTTGGTTAGTTCGGTGATGAACCTTCGGGTTCCGTAAGCCATCTGATTGGTTGGGTCCACTACTTGGGAACCCTGAGGGGAAGAGACCGCTGGGGAGACCTAGACGTAGATGGGAGGATAATCTCAGGCGGGATCTATGGGAGATAGGAGTTGAAGGAGACTGGATTTTGTTGGTCCAGGGAAGTTCTCCACTGTCGTCCAGTCGCAGGTCCAGCACATTTGGGCCCTGAGAGAAGTCGATGGGAGGCCACTTAGGGTTGAGGATATGCCGATGTGTGCTGATTAATCAGGGCCGTCATAAATGAGTATGTAGCAATGGCGGAATGTTGATTAGCAGACGAAAACCGAAGAACTCGGAGGAGAACGTGCCTTCGACCGCCGCGAATTTCTTCTGATGACACCTGGGATTGGTCTCCGCGGTGAGAAGCTGAGTTTTGACGTCGTCTTCATTCTATTCTGATACGCGTTGTGATTTCTGTGCGTAGCGGTCGTAAATTCGATTCATTTTTTGTATAAAGCCGTCTGATTTTGTGTGCCTTCGTCGAAACCTCAAGATCACACTTGCGTTTCCAATTTACCAAAAACACGCAAATTTATTTATTTATTTATTTGTGTATTTGTCTGTGCCTTCTTGCGCTGCTCAAGCAAATGCACTTAATCCCTCCGGATGTGATTTCTGTTTTAAGGCGATTCTTCGGGACTCCGTTGTGAGCGTGGAGATCGAAGTGAAACCACACAATTTGGTTCCGGATACCAACTGCTTCATCGACTACCTCAGTCAACTGCAGATCATAGCTCGGGCTGGCACAGCACCCCAGCATTATTACACTCTGATGGTCCCTTTGGTTGGTAAGTGTCGTGTCTGTTTTATCGACAGCGCGGGTTGTGATTTCTTTGCGAAAACTATGATTTCAGCGTGCGAACCAGCGAAATGTCTGAATATTTATAGTTTTGTGTATTATGTGTACAATGTGAGTAACGTAAGTATTATGTCTGTCTGTCCGTCCGTCCGCATGTTTTTATCTCGGCATGACGCGAGCAGTCAGTGGCGTGGGAGATTTCTGGACCAGCTGGGAGACTGACAACACCTCCGTTCGACGGAGAGAGAACTCAATCCAACGTCCTGGGATTCCATTTATATGTGTCCTGGTGTCTTTGCTCCTACATCCCTCCTGATCCGATTGGTAAAAAATATGTTTCCGACGTAATCCGTCAACACTGAAAGTTGTTACGTCAGTGACTGGCCTTGAATCGAGAGAGAAATTATTGTCGCGGATTTATCGTATTGGATACCTGACGTAACGAGACAGGCCGAGCGAACGTTTCAGTGAGAGAGCAAAAGGAGGCTGGCGAGGGAGGGCGTTGACACTTGCTACTGGTGTTGATGGTACAGCAGGAAGCAGCCTGGTTTCTCTGCTCCCCGCTACGGCGCCACTGGAACTGGTCGTCTTTTCATCCACATGACGCTGATATGCGACCTGTGCCGTCTGCGTTTAAAATATGTACGAAAAAGATATTTTTTTACGTGGACATCACTGGACGCTAAAAACCTGACGAGAGTTTTTGTTGATGTTGTTCTGGGTTTTGGGTGGGTGAAGTGACTTCAGATTTGAAGGTGGAGACATTATGTCCCTCCTAAACATCAACCTCACCGCCGTGAAACCTCAAAATCTCATAAATTGCTTTGGGAATAAGTCTGCCAGCCAGAAGTGCCATCGTTTTGGCTCCAGCGAAAATGTAAAACACGTCTTGAGAATCAGAAAGTCGCTCTGTCTCTGGTATGAATATGGTGATATTGCGGGCGCCGTACGTCACAGGCTTGGCTGATGATGGATCAGCCTGCGTCGCCCTGGTGAAGGAGGTGAACGTTTTTCTTCCTGCACTTCTTGGCTCTGGAGCGGGTTCTGAGGTTCTCACGACGGTGTACTATGGGTTGCAGCGCCGTCTAGTCTGGCAGAAGTTTACCAGCGTTTCATAGGTCCTCGCTTCCTCCATCATCAGGGCGATGGGGGGGGCCTCCAGAAGGCAGTCAGAACACATCACATTCCACATCTTTTATGGGTCCTCTCCCGAGCCAGATGAATCCAGTACACATGTCCTGACCCTACTTCCCAATGATCCATGCAGTAACATCGCACGTGAAGCACAAACTGGAGACCCGTCCCTTCTTCTTCTTCTTCTTCTGGTTATAGTCGTTGACATGCTGTGCAATTCTTTGCAGTGTTGAAAGAACTCGAGGGACTGGCTCGTGGAGGGAAAGACAGAGACCATATACCCGTACCGTCCGTGGATCCGGAACATGCCGCCAAGGTAGCCGAAGCTGCGAAAGTGGCTCTCGTCTTCCTCAGATCTCGGAGTCCGAGAGTGCGTTGCGTCACTACCCGCGGCACCGTCATCCACACGTCAGCCTTTGCGATGGAGGAGGATACGGAGCAGGTAATCACATTTTGCGGTGAGGTGGGACACATGCAGCCCGCGTCCAAAGCGTTCATTCAGGTTCAAGTCGCTGGTTATTCAGGTTCACTGGTTCATTCAGGGTGTATTATTATTGCAGGACGAAAGAAATGATGACAAAATCCTTGCTACAAGTCTGAGTCTTTGCAGATCGTCGGAAAAGGATCAGAGCAAACCAGGTAACTTCATATTTAATGTGACGTTTGTACGACGACCGATGCCGACTCCAAAGTTTCTTTAAAACGGATTAGCGATACTTCATTAATACCTGGAATTTTAACGGAAAAGTTTCTTTAGCCACTGCTAATTATTTTTCAGCTTAAAATAAGTAAGTTGGCGTTGCATTTTGGTTTTTACCCGTTGCGCACTTTAAATTTACAGAATTTTGAGACGGTCTGACGCGATACTTTAAAATGTGTTTTTATACACTGCGTCTTAATAAATTAGACACAGCAACGATACTACCCGGAGCAAAGGGGCAGTGCGCGCTTGAAGTTTCGTAACTTCGCTTGAAAACTGAGGTGTCATCAGTCACGTGCCATATCTATCGAGAGTTATAAATGTTTTTATTGTAATGCGTGATAGTTGTTTACAAAATGTGGCGCATATAGTATGTAAGCTAGTCACGCACTGAATGTAGGTGAACCGCGCCGCCTGTACCGAGAAGTGGTACTTCTGACCGAGGATCGTAACCTGCGAGTGAAGGCGCTGGCAAGGCACGTTCCTGTACGCGAGGTGCCCGACTTCATGCAGTGGGCGGGTCTGGGCTGAACCCCCCGGCTCCTGTGAACCTACAGCGCCAAGCAAGAGGATAATCACCTACACGCAGAGAATAAAGACACGAGTACGCAGAGGAAGGCAACGCACACAGACTGGACTCGGGTAGGTCCGTCCAGCTTCACGTCAGACAAGGGATTAATCCCGCTCGGGGATAGGATGGAGCACGCTCATAAATATCTTGGGTGCTATTGTCACATCATCTTCTGATGGGTGTAGGGTTACGGATCAGCGCAATTTTTGTACGGGAGAAAAGGTTTAAAATATTATTATATGAATTTGTGGCCGTCAGTACAACTTCTGCGGCATTTCATCTCCTGATCTCGCAGTTGTTAGGAAAGGAGATGATGTACGCATGTCACCGAACTTTCTGTTATGTTGGCTGCCTGGAATTTTTGCATTCCTGTGCGAAATGGTAACAGTAATTTTGATAGCGACTGGAAACGAGAACTTATTTCTTCGTTTGAAACGTTAATGTGTTATTAATTATATTGCAAGTGACTTGTCATTATCATGTTGACGAGTGCGTGCGAGTGAATGTGACTTGTAGCTCACAGAGTAGCCATTGTACAAAATTACTTACTTATTTTTCTGATAGTTTTACATTATTTCATGTTTCATATGCACACACATCACTGTCTTTTAATCTCTAAGAAGACAGAAATTTAAATTGATATTTGAGCGTAAGTGATTAATTGTTTTGTTATGTGTCATAATGACCTTGAAATTCTTTTAAGAAAATAAACCTCTTTGATCCCTGAACAGTCGTTTAAGAACACTTGTGGCACGTCAGTAAGGGTTAAATAATATAAATTAAAATCATATTTCAGGTGATCTTTTTCTTCGCTGTATAATCACGTAAGCCGTTTCACCTCATCCAGTCGTTAGTGTTTCATATGAAAGAAATTTCTTCGCTTTGTCTGTGCAGAAAAGTTTGTTTTTAATGATACGAACGGACGATCGGCAGCTAAGAAGCTGTGTTACGGAACTTGAAAAAGTGCCGTGAAGTAACCAGAAATTGTGCTGATGCCATTTTGGTGGGGTGTGGTCTCCGTCACCGTCTGAGGCCGCATTCATCTCAGTAGTTAAATTCTTAACGTACATCCAGATCGATGACAGTCAGGCGATGTATATGCCGGATGATTTTATAGCCGCGCCGTCTGTTATTCGTGCCAGAACGACATTTTTAAATTGGAAATTATCGGACAGAGTAATTTCTTCCGCCTTTCGGCCTGCGCGTCGGACCGGTCACAGTCTACATTAGTCTAAACTTCGAAACAAACCAAAAAAAATTTTTTAGCGACATGTTATTTCACGTGTTCTTCTGTTTCTCGTAACGTCATGTTTAGGTTTCAGGGGCCATGATAAACCCTTGATTTCCTGTAATGACCTCGGGTATTCTGAAGTAATACCAAGAGGGAGTTCGGCGGAGTGCGTAATTGTTTTGCCCGATTAGCAGTGAACACAATATTGTTAAAATTTAACAGTTTCGACAACTTTTCTGAAAATTTTAAAATACACTTTATGAAATAATAGTTATGAACCATTTTATAAATTGATATGAATTAAAATTGTTACGTGTTTGAAAATCACGCACGCTTGAGTTTTACCTTTTATTATAAATACTAGGCCTGTGTCTGGGAGAATGAATAAATAAATAAATAAATGTCTGTATGTTTTTGGTGCGTATGTAAATTCTTATGAATCCTATTAAAAAAAATTTTGCATTTGGTTGTGAACGTAATTAGATAGAACGCATTCCCATCAATAAAAATTAGAGCTTATGTAAATATTTAATGTGTGGATTTGTTGGAGTTTGAGAAGAAAATTTACAAAACTTGGTGTGTTAATGTGTATTATATTATATTTTTTTTTTTGCATTTTTAACCTGTCTGTCGAGAGACATCTAATTCATGTTTAATTTTAGAATATTAAAAACGAAATACTTAATAGGTTATTGTATGTAAGTACATAGTAAGAGTGATCTTGATAGAGCAAGGGCGAGACGGAAAAACAACAAATATTTAATTTGCGGCGATGAACGTCGTCGTCGAGGAAAAATACCGAGAGTGTCGATTGATTTTTTCGAGCGTTGGATTGCCGTAACTTATTTAGGAAGTAATTCTACGGACTTTGGTAAGCGGGTCGTCTTTTCTTTGCTATCTGATTTGAACAGAAGATTTAATTATAATTATTCTTCCTCGTCAAGCTCTCTGAATGTGTGTGACATTTGTATGCATATTTAAAGTGACATAAATTCTTGTAGTAATTTTAAGAATTTTTTTTGGGAATGTGGGAATTTGTTCGAATAATTTCCTACGAGATAATCATTCTTTTTTTTTTTTTGTGAGGTTTCGGAAATGACGGGCTGATAATGAGCTTGTTTGAGTGTTAATTATTGTTGAAGCGCCAGTCCTTCACCTCATCGTGTGGCGTTATTGTACTTACCTTTCTCCGACGTCTTTTTTGGGAGTGCGTGGGTGGGCCTGAACTTGGATCAAATTAAATTGCTGTTGTCCAGGTACGGCTCCTGCGCCTTCCTTTGCTCTTTAATTATTATTAATTATGTTTTGTGTAATTGGCTATAATGTTGTATAAACAAATATGTCTCAGGAAATGAAAGTGAACTTGTTAATGGTTAATTAATGAAATTATAGTGATACAGATATTAAATAATAAAGCTCCTACTCGGAGATTTAATTTGAGACTCGAAAGTGGTCTTTATATTGGATTTAGACAACTTTTTAAAAATGTAATCATCGTGTCAAGGAGGAGGAAGGGGTAGTATTTTTGAGGGGATTTTTAATTCTCACTGTGGGATAAAATGGTTTTTGTATTAATTTTTTTTGGGGGGGGTGGTAGGGGCTGTGTGACCCTGCTGACACATTTAATTTTGATTTTGATCAATTTTAAAATTGTGTATTTTACGAGGGCACGTATTTTATGTTCTTTGTAGCTAAAAACGAGAGTCACTCTCCCCCTTTTCCTTGTCTTTTGAAATTGCGCATGAGGCGGCCGTGCTGCTCAGGTTCCCCGAGTGTACGACATGAACATGTTAATTTTTATTTCTGTCTTTAGTTTCTGTTGAATTATTTCAGCATATTGAAATATTTATATGTGGCATCAGATAATAAATATTTATTATTTTATTTATAATTTTATTAGCCTCTAATTTCTGCATAGAATTTACAAATAGTGTCCCCCCTTCTTTGTTGAACAGGTTACATATTTATTTTAAAATGTTGTTTCTTTTTAAATACCAACAAAATATCTTTCACTTGTTTATTTACAAAACATGATTATTGTTGCTCTTTGTATGTTCGAGATGTGCGACTTACAATGTCGCCAAAAGAATGCCGCCGCTGTCACTTCCAGAACTCCACGGGTTTTATCTTGTTCTTTGAAAGAAAAGGAAGCTTTTGGACGCATTTCTAAGAAATCATGGATCACATTCTTTATATTTTATATGTATTACGTATTATCATAATTATTGTGATTAATTTGAAATGTTCTTTGTTTTGAAATTTTGAAGTTTTAACAAAGGAAAAATCTCTCACGTTGAAGAATCTCCACTGGCTTATGTTGGTTGCTTTTAAAACATTTTTATCCATGCTTATGTTGGTTGCTTTTAAAACATTTTTTAGCCCTGATTTTGGATGGAAAAAGAAATGAACTCAGAAATTCCATCATCATCTTGAAATTGATCTTTTTTCAGTTTTAAAGTTTCTTTCTTCAAAGAATATAGGATTTTTTTTGGAAATGATAGCTAGAAGTTGTTCTTATATTGTTAAGCCTAACATTTCCAGTCTTGACTCCCAGTTTTGTCCAGTTTCCGGTCCCCCTTGCCTTACTTATCCTTTACAAGATGTTTTGTCCTGGATCAGACTTCGGTAATCAGCAGAAATCTTCGAAGTTGGAGGGCGTTATCAGGTAGCAAGCAATATTCTTAAGCTTCCTGGTATGTATGAACAAATGTATGTTATGAATAAAATGTAAAGTTGATTTTCTGTGTTTATGATTGTTTACGTTTTCAGCATGACACTAATTGGACACGTAAAACGTTTCTTCTTAGGTTAGATAGAAACTTTTGGCCTTTGTGGACTTTCAGGGGACTGGGAAGGTACCTGCTGGTTCACTCCCGGCGTCTCCTTATTCCTAACCTTATCTGTTACAAACTCTATCGGGTTTTCTATCTGTTACCTTCGATTATTTTGATGTGCATTCTAATAGAAAATTAGATTATACTGCCAGGAACAAAATAAAGAAACATCAAAGCCAATTTTCTCTCTCCAGTAGTAAAGAAAACAGTTTACGTAATCATTACCGGCAGATACCAGAAGTAATATGGATTGTGTTTGTTCGTAAATAGCATTTTCGTGAATTTGCCCTGCTCCGTCAGAAACCACATTCTCCAATAACAAACAACAGACGTGTCGAAGACGAAACGGCTACTTTATATCGGGTACAGAATTTACTACTGAAACAATATTATTCCGTATATGCAATCTGTAGTTGATACAACAAAAATAAAATATTCTGAATATTTATCTTACTTATTTCGGGATGTAGGAAGTGATTACCTGTGACAAGCGCTCGTCGGAGGACGAAACTGCTTAAAGTACGGCCGAACCGATTTCAAGGAGAGTATCAGCTGCAAAAAATGGAACACGGCTGCAAGAATTTAATATTGACATTGGTTATTTCTCTTTGTGGGTGATGGAATTCGTGTGCAGTAGCTGGGGTTGAGTTTTAAGTGAAATGCCGTAGGCATATAACTATTTCAATTTCTGTTATGAAAGTGAGGTTGTGTTGATCCAGTACAGTTCTCACGAAAAGCAATTACATACAACTGCGAGGGGAGATGCATAAAATATGTGCAGAACTTCCATTATAGAACTCGTTCAATAATAGTAAACTAGCAGCTTATACCACCGGTGATGATGTGAGTACACAATACTTTACAATTAATTATATTGTCCATATGTAGCCATATAAACGTAATGATAATATTACGTCACGTTTTCATGCACCGGCGGTACCTGTGACAACTTCATCCTGCGTTTTTTTACCGCTAGTTGTCGCCGCAATCGAACGACAGCTCCGCCCTCTTTTTTTTTTTTGTGAGGTTTCGGAAATGACGGGCTGATAATGAGCTTGTTTGAGTGTTAATTATTGTTGAAGCGCCAGTCCTTCACCTCATCGTGTGGCGTTATTGTACTTACCTTTCTCCGACGTCTTTTTTGGGAGTGCGTGGGTGGGCCTGAACTTGGATCAAATTAAATTGCTGTTGTCCAGGTACGGCTCCTGCGCCTTCCTTTGCTCTTTAATTATTATTAATTATGTTTTGTGTAATTGGCTATAATGTTGTATAAACAAATATGTCTCAGGAAATGAAAGTGAACTTGTTAATGGTTAATTAATGAAATTATAGTGATACAGATATTAAATAATAAAGCTCCTACTCGGAGATTTAATTTGAGACTCGAAAGTGGTCTTTATATTGGATTTAGACAACTTTTTAAAAATGTAATCATCGTGTCAAGGAGGAGGAAGGGGTAGTATTTTTGAGGGGATTTTTAATTCTCACTGTGGGATAAAATGGTTTTTGTATTAATTTTTTTTGGGGGGGGTGGTAGGGGCTGTGTGACCCTGCTGACACATTTAATTTTGATTTTGATCAATTTTAAAATTGTGTATTTTACGAGGGCACGTATTTTATGTTCTTTGTAGCTAAAAACGAGAGTCACTCTCCCCCTTTTCCTTGTCTTTTGAAATTGCGCATGAGGCGGCCGTGCTGCTCAGGTTCCCCGAGTGTACGACATGAACATGTTAATTTTTATTTCTGTCTTTAGTTTCTGTTGAATTATTTCAGCATATTGAAATATTTATATGTGGCATCAGATAATAAATATTTATTATTTTATTTATAATTTTATTAGCCTCTAATTTCTGCATAGAATTTACAAATAGTGTCCCCCCTTCTTTGTTGAACAGGTTACATATTTATTTTAAAATGTTGTTTCTTTTTAAATACCAACAAAATATCTTTCACTTGTTTATTTACAAAACATGATTATTGTTGCTCTTTGTATGTTCGAGATGTGCGACTTACAATGTCGCCAAAAGAATGCCGCCGCTGTCACTTCCAGAACTCCACGGGTTTTATCTTGTTCTTTGAAAGAAAAGGAAGCTTTTGGACGCATTTCTAAGAAATCATGGATCACATTCTTTATATTTTATATGTATTACGTATTATCATAATTATTGTGATTAATTTGAAATGTTCTTTGTTTTGAAATTTTGAAGTTTTAACAAAGGAAAAATCTCTCACGTTGAAGAATCTCCACTGGCTTATGTTGGTTGCTTTTAAAACATTTTTTAGCCCTGATTTTGGATGGAAAAAGAAATGAACTCAGAAATTCCATCATCATCTTGAAATTGATCTTTTTTCAGTTTTAAAGTTTCTTTCTTCAAAGAATATAGGATTTTTTTTGGAAATGATAGCTAGAAGTTGTTCTTATATTGTTAAGCCTAACATTTCCAGTCTTGACTCCCAGTTTTGTCCAGTTTCCGGTCCCCCTTGCCTTACTTATCCTTTACAAGATGTTTTGTCCTGGATCAGACTTCGGTAATCAGCAGAAATCTTCGAAGTTGGAGGGCGTTATCAGGTAGCAAGCAATATTCTTAAGCTTCCTGGTATGTATGAACAAATGTATGTTATGAATAAAATGTAAAGTTGATTTTCTGTGTTTATGATTGTTTACGTTTTCAGCATGACACTAATTGGACACGTAAAACGTTTCTTCTTAGGTTAGATAGAAACTTTTGGCCTTTGTGGACTTTCAGGGGACTGGGAAGGTACCTGCTGGTTCACTCCCGGCGTCTCCTTATTCCTAACCTTATCTGTTACAAACTCTATCGGGTTTTCTATCTGTTACCTTCGATTATTTTGATGTTGTGCATTCTAATAGAAAATTAGATTATACTGCCAGGAACAAAATAAAGAAACATCAAAGCCAATTTTCTCTCTCCAGTAGTAAAGAAAACAGTTTACGTAATCATTACCGGCAGATACCAGAAGTAATATGGATTGTGTTTGTTCGTAAATAGCATTTTCGTGAATTTGCCCTGCTCCGTCAGAAACCACATTCTCCAAGTACGGCCGAACCGATTTCAAGGAGAGTATCAGCTGCAAAAAATGGAACACGGCTGCAAGAATTTAATATTGACATTGGTTATTTCTCTTTGTGGGTGATGGAATTCGTGTGCAGTAGCTGGGGTTGAGTTTTAAGTGAAATGCCGTAGGCATATAACTATTTCAATTTCTGTTATGAAAGTGAGGTTGTGTTGATCCAGTACAGTTCTCACGAAAAGCAATTACATACAACTGCGAGGGGAGATGCATAAAATATGTGCAGAACTTCCATTATAGAACTCGTTCAATAATAGTAAACTAGCAGCTTATACCACCGGTGATGATGTGAGTACACAATACTTTACAATTAATTATATTGTCCATATGTAGCCATATAAACGTAATGATAATATTACGTCACGTTTTCATGCACCGGCGGTACCTGTGACAACTTCATCCTGCGTTTTTTTACCGCTAGTTGTCGCCGCAATCGAACGACAGCTCCGCCCTCGCCGCCATTAAGCGAAAATTTGTTGATATGATAATGTGGTGTTTTTTTGTGTGTTCGAGGCTTGCGAT